TCATTGATATTTTAGATACGTATTATAACACCTGCGTGTTAGGGCTTTGGGCTTCAAGTAAACGACACCTGATTCAAGCTAATGATAATATATATTATTCATTTGAATAGAAGTCAGTATATAGGTTAGGCATAATTCTTTTGGGAACCAGCCTTTGTTTGTAAGCCTCTTAACTGTGCCTTCTTTTTTTTGAGACGGAGTTTCGCTCTTGTTACCCAGGCTGGAGTGCAATGGCGCGATCTCGGCTCACCGCAACCTCCGCCTCCTGGGTTCAGGCAATTCTCCTGCCTCAGCCTCCTGAGTAGCTGGGATTACAGGCACGCGCCACCATGCCCAGCTAATTTTTTGTATTTTTAGTAGAGATGAGGTTTCACCATGTTGACCAGGATGGTCTCAATCTCTCGACCTCGTGATCTACCCGCCTTGGCCTCCCAAAGTGCTGGGATTACAGGCTTGAGCCACTGCTCCCGGCCAACTGTGCCTTCTTTTGTGTTACCTTTTATGTATGGCATCCTCCTTCATGGTTGATTGTAGGATGGCTGCCAGAGCAATAGGGTGGTTGTTTTCTTGTACATGTCCACCTGAAGAAACAGTTGTTCTCTTGAAACCATCTCAAGATACTGCTTGTGTCAGGCCAGGTGCCATGGCTCATGCCTGTAATCCCAGCACTTTGAAAGGCCGAGGCGGGCAGATCGCCTGAGGTCAGGAGTTCGAGACCAGCCTGGCCAATGTGGCGAAACCCCCATCTACTAAAAATACAAAAAATTAGCTGGATGTGGTGACACCAACTTGTAATTCCACCTACTCGGGAGCCTGAGGCAGGAGAATCGCTTGAACCTGAGAGGAGAAGGTTGCAGTGAGCCGAGATTGTGTCACTGCACTCCAGCCTGGGCGACAGAGTAAGACTCCATCTCAAAAAAGAAAAGAAACATTAATTGTGTTTTTTCATTTGCAGGTGAAATTCAAATGGCTGTTACCAGGGGGCTTAGTGGTCCCTGGATTTGGCTGCATGCAAGCGTAAGCCTCCGGCAGCCTCTTCTGATTCTCATAGTCCAGAATTGGGTCACATGCCCATTCTGAACCAGCCGTTTACCTGAGACTACCCCTCCATCAGTTAGGCCCACCCTTGACTGACCGGTCAGCAAGCAGCATTGCCGTGGTTCAGTAGGCCAGGAGTGAGATGATGTGGGACAGGCAGTCGCCATGTTCATTCCAGCCCGTAGGCTGTGACGGCTTGAGGAGCGAGCCATCTGTTTCCTCTTAGCCCCAAACCTAAAAGGGCGGCAGGCGTGAAGTTGCCCCTATCTTTAGGAAAATTCAGCAAATTGACATTTTCACCTTTTTTTCGTTTGCAAGTAAAATGCAGGGGAATTACCACCCAGTGTTTGGTGATTTCTGGATTGGGTTGCATGTGTCAGTCAGCTGGCCTTGGAGACTTGGTGTGGCTACCCAGGGAGCAGGAGTGAGAGTGAGCAAGGAATTAGGAAGACGGGGTATGCTGTGAGCACATGGTGCATGATTTGGTCCTTCATGGTGTGTCACAGACTTACAACAACTAAGCAGGAGAGGGTGGCTGAAAGGAAATTCCTTTCCTGAAAGGAAATCAGGAAGGTAATACAGAGAATTTTTCAGTAGTTTTCTATTCCCCATGCCACTTTTTAAATGAACGAATACTACCATGTACCCCTTTAAAATGAAGGCTCCTAAATGAGATCCTTTAACATGAAAATGTGTATATGTTAGTGTAAAATGAGAGGGGAAAATACAGAATCTAAGAAGAGCATTAAACATCATTGTATTTTGAGATTATTTTTACCTTATGTAGGATTCTGAAGTGGTTTGTCATAGGTGGGGAGCCTGAGACCTTGTTAAGTGTTTTGCTAGAAACAAGGAAATGCTATAGCTATTGAGAGAGATTCTTGGTTTTGCTTTGCTATTGTTGCTGCAGTTTAATTGCATAATGTAAGATACAGTTTTCTACATTTTAGATAGATTAGTTATATGCCTCAGGTTAGGTCTGTAACTTTTTTCCTGCTCATTTGTTCCTCTATCCTGTTTACTAATAACATAACTCATGGGATATCTAGACATCTCAAAGAGTAGAGAATGGTATTAAGCACATTATTGGATCCCCTCCCCATTCTTTTCTCTGAGTGAATGTAATTGCTTATTTTTAATTATTTAGGTATTAGCTTACAAATCAAGATACAAGTACGTAATGTATAATTAGTGCTAACCTTTACGAGGTATCTCCCATCTTGTTCATATGAGGTACTGTAGCATGGGTGGTTAAGAAAACAGGCCTCACTTCAGACCGCTTGGCTTCTAATCCTTTGCTGCTTCTAACCTACATGGCCTTGAGCAAATTGTTAAGCTGTTCGTTGTCTCAGTTTCCTTGTCTATAAAATGGACATCATAATAACAGGACTTATCACATGTGATAATTTGAGCATTGAATTTAAAGATTCATGGATACTCTTTCCAAGCGTACCCATAACGTAAGGGCTTACAGTAAATATTGGCTGTTTCTGCTACTACTGAATTTTTCTTTTCTTTAGGCACAGGGTCTTACTCTGTTGCCTAGGCTGTTGTCAGTGCTCACTGTAACCTCGAACTCGGGTTCAAGCAGTCCTCATATATATATTAAAAGAAATATGTAAATATATATATATAAAATAATAATTATTATTTTCCTGTTTTAAAGTTTTTGAGACAGAGTCTTGTTCTGTTGCCCAGGCTGGAGTTTAGTGGCGTGATCTCAGTGCACTGCAACCCCTGCCTCCTGGGTTGAAGCAATTCTTGTGCCTCAGTCTCCTGAGCAGCTGAGATTACAGGCATGCACCACCACACCCAGCTAATTTTTTGTACTTTTACTAGAGACGGTGGTTTCAGCATGTTGCCCAGGCTGGTCTCAAACTCTTGAGCTCAAGCAGTCCTGATCCGCCCACCTCTGCCTCCCAAAGTGCTGGCGTGAACCACGGTACCTAGCCTAGTTTTAATTTATATTTGTTTATTTATTTGTTAGAGACAAGGTCTTGCTCTGTTGTCCAGGCTGGAGTCCAGTGGTGGGATCATAGCTCACTATAATCTGGAGTTTCTGGGTTCAGTGGTACTCCCAGTTCAGCCTTTGATGTAGCTAGCACTACAAGCATGTGCCACCATGCTTGGCTAACTTTTTAAAAATTTCTTGTAGAGATGAGCTCTTGCTATATTTCCCAGGCTGGTCTTGAACTCCTGGCCTCAAGCAGTCCTTCTGCCTCAGCCTTCCAAAGTGTTAGAATTACAAGCATGAGCCACCACACCTGACCTACTACTGTTAACATAATGAAAGATAAGGTCTCTGCTTACTTCATTGTTTTTCCACAGTTTGTAAAATTAATTTCATTTCTATATATAACATAAAATAATGTCTTTAGCCTTTTATTTCCCCAACAGCATGAGATAACATATCTGAACTTCCTACTCTAAGTGATGAAGAAAGCACGACTTCATTCTTTTATATTTGTTTTCCACTAGTTATAAGATTACTTTTGCATCATTAGGTGCGTTCTTTATGGATTGTACCCTTCAAGGAATTGGTCCATTTCATCTGGATTATCAAATTTGTGGACATAGAGTTGTTCATAATATTCCTTTATCCCTTTAATGTCCATGGGATCTGTAGTGATGGCCTCTCTTTCATTTCTGGTATTAGTAATTTGTATCCTTTCTCTCTCTGTTTTTTTAAGCCTGGTAGAGGCTTATCAATTTTATTGATCTTTTAAAAAAACAGCTTTGGGATTGATTTTTCTTTATTGATTTCCTGTTTTCAACTGCATTGATTTCTGCTATCATATTTTTAATTTTTCTTCTGCTTGGTTTTAGATATTGTTTGCTCTTCTTTTTCTAATTTCCTAAGATGTAAGCTTAAATTACTGATTTTAGGTCATTTTTGTTTCCTAAAATATGTGTAGTATTATGAATTTCCCTCTAAACATTTCTCTTGCTTTGTCCTATAGTGTTTAATAAATTATATTTTCACCTTCACCTAATTAAAAATATTTTAAAATTTCTCATGAGATTTTTGTATGTTGTCCATTTGTATACTATTTTGGGATTTTTCCAGCTATCTTCCTATTATTGATTTCTAGTTTAATTTCATTGTGGCTTAAGAGAAGATACTGTATGATTTTTATTATTAAAAATTCGTTAAGGTGCGTTTGGTGGTCCAGAATGTGGACTCTTTTGGTTAATGTTCCACGCGAACTTGATAAGAAGTAGTTTACCGATGTCAGCTACATCCAGTTTATTGATGGTGCTGTTGGATTCAACCATGTCCTTACCGATTTTCTGCCTACTGGAGCTGTCTATTTCTGGTAGAGGAGTGTCGAAGTCTCGGACTATAATGTAGATTCATCTCTTTCTCTGTTAGTTTGTGCCTCACATATTTTGATACTGATTGGTTAGGTACATACATGTTATGGGTTGTTATTTGGAGAAGTGACTCCTTTATTATTATGTGATAACCTTCTTTATCTCTGATAACTTTCCTTGCTTTGAAATCTGCTCTGTCTGAAATTAACATAGCTACTGCTGCTTTCTTTGGATTAGTGTTAGCATGGTATATCTTTCTCCAGCCCTTTCCTTTCCTTTTTTCTTGGTGTTTCCCCCTCTCGGGTTGGACTGGGTGGCTAGAAAGGGCTGGAGTTAGGTACTTCCCTTCTCTCAGTTTGGTTAGGCTCTGATAAAGCTCCGGTAGGCCAGGTTCTGATGAAGTAGTTTCTCTTCAGCAGCCGGCTTTGTGAAGAACAACACAGTGCGGTACATACTTCAAAATGGGTCCTATTTCCTTTCTCTTGCCAGAAGCCCAAGGGGATGTTTCTTTGATACTTACTGTGAGAATCTGATTGAGCTCCTGGAGCTAAAACTCACAGAAATATGGGGAGCCCTCTGTGAATTTATGCCGAAAATACAGAGACTTACATAGTGGTAATTTCTGTTGTTTGTGTCTTCTTCTTCAGTACTTGGACCATGAGACTGTTTCAGCCACATTCATCGACAGCAGTGGGCAGTTTGTTTCCTCCCAGGTGACGAGAATTAGCCGGAATCCCTACTGTGGCTATGATCAGCAGACCCTGTCCAGCCAGGAGCGCATGGAGGAGGACTCCTTGCTGGCGGCCTTGCACGGGCAGGTTCCAGATGTGGGCCCAGTCCCCTTTGTGAAGAGCACTGACCCTTCTTCCAGCTACTTTGTTATCTTGAACTCTGCTGCCTTCTTTAAGGTGGGAAGCCAGCTGGAGGTACTGGTTCATGTACAGGATTTTCAAAGAAAGCCCAAGAAGTATGGTGGAGACTACCTGCAGGCCAGAATTCACTCCCCCAAGCTGCAGGCCGGGGCTGTGGGCAGGGTGGTGGACTACCAGAATGGGTTTTACAAAGTTTTCTTTACTTTGCTATGGCCAGGCAAAGTTAAAGTGTCCGTATCTCTGGTCCACCCCAGTGAAGGGATCAGAGTTCTTCAGCACTTACAGGAAGATAAACCAGACAGGGTCTATTTCAAGAGTCTCTTCCGTTCAGGAAGAATTTCTGAAACTACTGAGTGCAACGTGTGTCTTCCTGGGAATCTGCCCCTGTGTAACTTTACAGACCTCTACACTGGGGAGCCCTGGTTCTGCTTCAAACCAAAGAAGCTCCCTTGCAGTAGCAGAATTACCCATTTCAAAGGTGGATACCTGAAGGGTCTCCTAACTGCTGCAGAGAGTGCATTCTTCCAGAGGTATGTGCTGCTTTTTCTTGGGGATAATTTGAAGAGTTCTTTTCCGCTGTCCTTGTCCCATTTAGGAGACTTTGTGGTATTGGGTATGTGTTTCTTATGTCTCTTTCAACTTGACCTAATTTGGAAGAGATATTGAATTCAACCCCCATATATTTGTATTTTTCCGTAGTGTTTTAAAAGTGAAGCTTAGTGCTTATCCAAGTCCAAATTAAAGACCTTTTTGCCCTTGAATTTTTGTTCTTTACCCTCATATCTGTGTTTTACTTTCAAACTACATAGCATGTTTACACAGTAGCTGTGTAAGCAAAATCCCTTATTCACAGAACAGATAAAAAAATGATCCAAGGGCCAGGTGTGGTGACTCATGCTTATAATCCCAGCACTTTAGGAGGCTGAGATGGGAGGATTGCTTGAGCCCAGGAGTTTGAGACCAGCCTGGTCAACATAGCAAGGCCCCATCTATTTTATGCAAAGAAAAAAATAATCCAAGAACAGGGCTGGTAGGGCCAGGAGTCAGGCTGGTATTTTATATTTGTATCTAGTGAACAGAAACTTTTAAAAGTGATATAATAGCAGTGTTTAAAATCATTTGAACATATTGATTAAAAAACTATGAATATGGCAACATTGCTGGGTGGACTTAATAACAAGCATAGGAAGCTAGAAATGCCACAGAAAATTATATTTTTTAAGCTAAATAGTTAAAATTGTTGCAGTAATGTGTTCAAATTTCTGTGTCAAATATAAGCATATTTTGAGCGTGATGGTAAATATATGGAATAATGTTCAGAAAGGAATATGAAACCAGTATGAATGAAGAATGAAAATTTGTGTTTTCTTCAATATTCCATAACATCACTAAGAAATAAAAAATTGTAAAAGCTACTTGTTGACAAAGTATCATTTTGGCCAGGTGTGGTGGCTCATGACTCAGCACTTTGGGAGGCTGAGGTGGGAGGAAGGCTGGAGCCCAGGCATCTGAGGTGGCAGCGAGTATGATCATAATTGCACTGCAGCCTCGGCAACAGAGTGAGACCCTGTGTCAACCAAAAAAGTACCATTGTTTGAAATAATGTGTACATGTTTTTGACTTTTTAATGAAATATATTGTTTGTAAACCTTCCTCGGTAGAGAGGATTTTTTTATTGCATAAAAGGGAGGTCTTTTTGTTAAGTACATCTGGGCAACCTAAAAATTTTCATAGTTTATGTCTACTCATTACTGGATGGCAGAAAAGTTGCTATCATAAAGTATGTGGTTTGTAGGCACTCCTGAAATAAAACCCTTCAGTTTTTTTTGACTCCCAAAAGTCATACCAGGTTACGTCCATGTGTAGCAGATTCATGCTATACTTTCAGAAGGCCAGCAGAGGGAGCACTACTCAATGTACAGTCTTGACTGCTCAGACGACTGGTATTTTCCATGGCTCAGTCCAAAATGAAAACAAAATTAAATTTCAAAACCAAAACAGAATTTTTCATTTTATTCCTGGATTCAGGTTTCGGACATGCCATTTGTCAGTGACTAAGCAGATTATTTTATTTCTGTGTACTTTTTTGCCTATGTATGAAGACTACTCATTTACCCTATTGCAGAGGATCTGTTTGTTCGTTTTGCACCAGGGTCTGGCTTTGGCATCCAGGCTGGAGTGCAGTAGCATGATTGTGGCTCACTGCCGCCTTGACATCCTGGGTTCAAGCGATTCTCCCACCTCAGCCTGCCGAATAGCTTGGACTACAGGTTTGCACCACCACACCCAGCTAATTTTTGTATCTTTTGTAGAAATGTGGTTTCATTATGTTTTCTTTTTCTTTTTCTTTTCTTTTTTTTTTAAAGATGGGGTTTCACTGTGATGGCCAGGCTGGTCTTAAACTCCTGACCTCAGGTGATTCATCCACCTCGGCCTCCCAAAGTGCTGGGATTACAGGCGTGAGCCACTGTGCCCGGCCCATTATGTTTTCTGGAATGGCCGAAACTCCTGGGCTCAAGTAGTCACCCTGCCTTGGCCTCCCAAAGGGCTGGGATTACAGCTGTGAGCCACCATGCCCTGTTAGAGTTGTGTTTTTAGATTTTTAAATTATGGATACATACTACTTGCATATATATATTTTTTCTTTTTTTCATTTTTTTTCCCCAGAACCTAAAGTACAATACTTGCATATATTTTTGAGGTAGATGTGATATTTTGATACAAGCATATAATATGTAATGATCAAATCAAGGTAATTGGAGTATCCAGTACCTCAAGAATTTATCATTTCTTTGTGATAGGAACATTCCAGTTCCACTGTCAGAATTGGTTTGAAATAGATAGTAAATGATTGTTAGCTGTAACGGCCCTATAGAGTTTGTTGCCAGTCTACATGGCGGCCTCGCAAAAAGGGGGAAGCAGAGTAATTCACTCAAATTCCGTGTGGAGAATAGAGAAAGGTCAGAGAACTAAATCAGTGTGAAACCGAAAAGTATTTCTGACTGTAAATTCCACTATTCAAAACAAAAAACACCCGTGAACCCACAGGGATAAAATAATGTGTTTGTCCCTGCCCTTAGTTGCATGTCCCAGGTGAGGCTGGTTGATGGTACCTTGGTGTAGAATAATTGCGGAATTCTACTTACCTGAAAGTTTGCTGAGAAAACAGTGTTTGAGGTGGCATAAGTTTTTGGAAAGAAAACGTTTGACAGAGTCCTGATAATGGATTTTCATTTTTCTGTCCTTTGTTCTGTTAAAGTTCTGAAATGTTACATAAGGCTATCTGAAAAGAAAAAGAAAAATACTGATACTGATTTTTTTTTTTTTGGTGATTTTTGGGTTTATTGTTGTGAACTTATGGCCCAAATGTGTTGAGCTGATAACCTTTTTTTTACCTATCTTCCTTGGTGACTCATAACCTTACTTAAATCGGAAAGAATTAAGAAGCTTAGCCTTGGTATTTGGTTCCATAAATGATAGTTGAAAATAAAAGGATGTCGTCTTTGTTCTTATAAGGGAATAAAAATGTTACTTTTGGAAAGGACAACAGGTCTTTCCTTAAAGATCCAATTAATATAAGGGAAGACCTTTTAAAAGAATGGGCTTATCACCTAAAACATTTCCCTTTATTTTAGCACGATTGCTACTTTTTTCTTTTTAACTTTATATTAAAAAAAATGGAACCTTTAGAAACACTGCAGGAATAATAGTGAACTCTTAGATTCACCATTATTAATGTTTTGCCACATTTTGTTCTATGTCTCTCTGTGTTTATATGTATCTGTGTGTAATTTTCCTCCCTGAACCATTTGAGAGTATGTTGCAGGTACCATGGCACTGCTCTCCATAAATATGCCTCTCCTAAGAAAATGGACTTTCTCTAACATATAACCATAATGATCACATTTAGGACATTTATCATCATTAAAGCACTATTATCTAATATGCAGTTCATATTAGATATTCAAGTTTCTTCAGTTGTCCCAATAGTGACTTTTATAGCTATCTTTTTAATTTTAACTAATCTAATCTATGATGACACAGTGTGTTTGGTTATCTCTTTAATCCGAAAGAGTTCTTTTTCTTTAGCTTACTTTGTTTTGTATGGCATTGGCAATTTTGATGTTGCCGTTTTGTAGAATGTCCTTTACTTTTTTTTTTTTTTTTGAGACAGAGTGTCGCTCTGTCACCCAGGCCGGAGTGCAATACAATGATCCTGGCTCACTGTAACCTTCCCTCCTGGGGTCAAGTGATTCTTGTGTCTCACCCTTCCGAGTAGCCGGGACTAGTAGGCATGCACCACCACACCTGACTAATTTTCGTACTTTTAGTAGAGATGGGGTTTTGCCCTGTTGGTCAGGCAAGTCTCAAACTCCTGGCCTCAAGGAGATCCGCCCATCTCGGCCTTTCAAAGTGTTGGGATTACAGTTGTGGGCCACCATGCTCAGTCTGCTTTGGATCTGCTTTATCGTTTCTACTTTCCATGTGATTAGATTGAGGCTAAATATTTTTGCAGGAAAATTATTGAAGAAATTTTCCTGCAAAAATGGAAATTATGTTTTTGCAAGATAATTGTATAATAATAATAATAATGAAATAATGCTTTTAACTGTAGAGAAGTAAATTATATTTCTTCTTTTCTTTACCATAAAACTCTAAGGTCATGAAAGTAGTTTATATGTGCTGTCTTAAAAAACCACTTTTATGAAATTCGATTATTCTCTAATGTTGCCAGGCCTGTGTATTTCCTTCATTCCTTGTTTTTTTCTGTGTCCTCTATGTAAGCTCCATGAAGAAAGAAAGGCTGTGCATTTTTCTTACTGTAATAGCCTGGGAGTCTAGGACAGTACCTGGCTTAAGAAGCTTAAGAATTATTTTGCTTATTTGTTGAATAAACAGTTTTTTTTCTGAAATTGATGAAATAATGAAAAATGACTTCACATTCCCAGATCAAGAGTTTGGCAAGTTAACATTTTATTTATTTATTTTTTGTTTTTGGTCTAAGTACAAGAGGCCTTGTTTTACTGTGACTCAGTTTCTGGAATAGTTACCTTGGATTTTCAGTGCTTTTATCCTTTCCTTCAGTCTCCCCCACGTTTTAATGCAGCCCTCCAAAAATATTGACTGAGTATGGACTCTAGACCAGGGCCTGTGCTAGGATACAAAGGTGAATGGGGCACCATCCTTGTCTTTGATTAATGTATGTTTTATTTTATTTTATTCCTCCCCTCCCCCCCGCTGCCTCCCTCGAGTAGTGTATGTTTTAGTAAGGAGAACTGACGCTAAAGACTCCTGTAATGATGAACAGAGTACTGCGTGAGTGCATATCTGGGGGTCAGGTGTCCCCAGCAGGGCTCCTCTCAGATCTGGAAACTCCCTAGGGGATCTGACTCATGACTTAATGCAGCCTGTGGTTGCAGCCCGAAAACCAGGTAATGACAAAGTAGACATTCTTGTCAGTGTGAGCCACTCTCTGAGTCCAAGGGGAGTATGTAATTCAGACCAGAATCGGTCATTTTGGAGTTTGCACTCTTAGCAGTGTAGAGTGCAGCGAAATTTAAGAATCAGTGTAATTTCTTTTCAGTTTATATGTACATATAACCTGCTTATTATAAGAAATGCAGTTTATTATTTGTGTTGGTTAACGTAAGTATATTTCATCATAATAAGGCTCCGTGAAATTAGTCATTTTATCATTTGCTAATAAAGACATATATCTGAAAATAAATGTTCCAGAACCTAAGCTTGTACTTTTTTATTCCTCTTAAAGTGGTGTCAATATCAAAATGCCAATCAACTCCAGTGGACCTGATTGGGTAACTGTGATTCCCAGGAGAATAAAAGGTAAAAAAAAAAAAAAAAGAGCTTGATGATTTGTTGTTTTTCTTACTAAGCAGTTGAGGCTCTATCGTTTCATTATGTTCTAAAAACTTATATGCCATAGTTACTTCTGGGGACAATCAAAAATATTAAAAGTACTGTTTGATTAAAAAAAATCAAATCTTGTGTGCATAATTCTGAGTTTTGCTATTTACTGTTATTTTATTTTATTTTATTTGCTCTGTTACCTAGGCTGGAATGCAGTGGCGCAGTCTTGACTCACTGCAGCCTTGAACTCTTGGGCTCAAGTGATCCTTTCACCTAAGCCTCCCGAGTAGCTGGGACTATAGGCACACACCACACCTGGCTAATTTTTGTATTTTTTTTTTGCTAGAGACAGATTTTTGCCATGTTGCCCAGGATGGTTGAACTCCTGAGCTCAAGCAGTCCTCACACCTTGGCCTCCCAAAGTGCTGGGATAGCAGACATGTGCCCGCCCGAGTTTTGCTATTTATGCTCATGTAAAAGTTTTCTTTTCTTGCTAGACCTACTCTGCTGTTTGGCTCTTCGAGTCCTTTTAACAGTGTTGTCCAATATGATAGCAACTAGTCACATGTAGTGATTCAAATTTAAATTAAGATTAAATAAAATTCAAAATCTAGTTATTTAATCGCACATGCCCAGTAGCTATATGTAGACAGCATTTTATACCCACAAAAAGTTGATTGGATATTGCTGCTCTAGAGATACTTGAGAAATATAGGTAAAATTATCATGGAAATGTTTTAAAATAAAAAAAAAAAAACGGGTTGGAGAATTGCAGCTGTTCTCAAAGTGTGATCTGTGGATCAGTGGCATCAGCATTACCAGGAGACCAGATAGAAATGCAGATTCTCAGGTCCCATTCTCAGGTTTCTGTTTCGGCTACAGAAACAGAAACCCTGGCAGGTGGGGCCTGGCAGTTTGTGTTTTAACAGACTTTTCAGGTGATGCAGATTTATTGGTGTACAATATTAATAGTAGAAGAACAAATTCAGAGGAGTAACTGTTTATGTTATGTTTTTGCAGAGTAGATCTAATTAGCTGTCGTGATTTTTAGAAGGAAGGGATGAACGTTACTAGGAAGGCTTAAGCAGATGGCAGGCCAGGTCCTTTTTAGCTTTTAAAAGCGTGTGAACTCATAGTACTCTACTCTGCAGATGTCGCAAACCCTTTTGCTGCAGGGGCTCGACATTTAGTGCATGTGGAGGGAGCAAAGTGGGTATTAGCCACATGCCTTGTGTGGGTGCCAGGGAAGGAACTGAAGTCTCAAGGTTCTGAAGTCTCTTCAGTTCCTGCTGCTTTGTTACCATGAAGAAACAAACCCCGTGTGGCCAGATCCGTAGATTGTTTTTTCCAAGAGAAACTAGAACTTCGAATTTTTAAATGTGATATCTCCGGATTTTAGAACATCGACATCCAATTCAAGACTTTAAAAATACTGTATGGGCTAAATAAAATTTGCTTGGCCCATTTGCAGCCAGGGCACTGCCAGTTTATATCTCTTCTCTCTGCTATCGTATGCCACAAGAATTCCCAGTCTTTTCCTAACAAAGAGCTGTATCTGATTTACTTGAACCACATGAATTACTAATTTTAGAGGACATATATGTGAGGCGTCAATAGTGGAAATATTTATCTTTTATCTGTTTGGGCCTCAGCCCTGAGGTCAAGATGTCGGTAGACAGGGCGTCGGCTCTAAACACTCTCCATGTCCGACGTCCTCAGGAGGCCCTGTCTCCCGCCACTGGATCCGCCCTTTTTCCTCACCGACTCGACCGGCTTGCCCTTATTGTGATGCCCTAGGTGAACCAGGAATGGTTCGTGGGAGGAACTTTGGAAAGTTTAACTGTCCCTGACAAGTCTTGAGGATCGGCCAGGAAGTGGCCATGGGCTTATGATTTAAATACTCTTCTGGTTAGAGGGAAGATAGATTTGGTAATCACTGAGCTTTTTGATGTATTTTTAGAGGAAAAAATGTTGAATTAGTAGGAGCAGAAAATCCTGATTTTGAATAGGAAAACTGTCTTGCGACAGGTATATAATTGGAAAGAAAACAGGAGGGCAATTGCTGTATGGAATATAGAAGGAACGCAGAACCTCATTGAATTTCATGCTAGTGACCAGCAGGGGGCACTCAAAGACCCTAAATCCAGGGCTCATATTTTTCTCTGCATTTCAACTTCATTCTAGGCAAACATTCCGTTTCTGCTTAAACTTTCACCAACCTTGTTACCAATTCCTGCAAAAAACAAACAAACAAACACCCAAAACAAACAGAAACCTTTCACCAACCAATTTTAGCATTCGTCCAGGTTCGTCAGATCTTGCCTGTAGCCGTGATTTCTGAGGCATTCTAATGGTGACTTTTTATGTCTCTCATTCTTTCAACATTTATGAGTTGGAATTCTTCTGCAAAGAAGAGTTGTCCCTTCTTCACTTTTAAGTATTTGTATCTGTGTAGACTCAGGATGATTTCATTCTTTGGGTTATAATCCAATTCAGTCATTCTTTTCTTTTCAAATCGTTCCGTTTTGGCAGTTGGCAGTTGGGAACACGTTCCGTCTGGCCTCTGCGTCACCTGTGTGCTGCCATCTGTTTGTTTTCAGCACTTCCTTATCTTCTGGCACCGCGAGATGCTGGAGGCTTGTCTTGCGTTTTCTTTGGCTTAGCATTAGAAGGGGTTTGTAGTATTTCTACTTTTATTTCACTTACGAATCCTACATTTTGAAGCCTTTTCCCTATGAAATTGTATTCATGTATTAGCTAATACATATGAAATTGTATATGTATTAGCTAATATTCTTACAAGGTAAAATTATGGCTAAGATTCATATTTAGATTGCTTGAGATTGCCAGTGCTACTGCTACTTGTGGACATAATTCCAGACAAAGTCAAGGAAAAACAGTTTTTAACTCGAATTGACCTAATTAAGGGCAAGCATCTGGTTTATGTCAGGCTTTTCCATTGCTAGAATCACTGCGGAATTTTCATTAATACCTGTAATGTGGTCCGCAGATTATCACAGCTAAGTGGCTCAGGGGCCTTGACAGATTCTGACCTCATCAACAACTTGAGCTTATATTTTTTGGGGGAACTTACTGAGAGTTTGGGATAAGACTCGATCTAATAGCAATAGTATAGATAAGAACAATGAGGTTTTATATTTATGTGTATCTTTGTAGCTACGGTAGGATGAATACTAAGATGACTAACAGTGATCTGTGCTCTTACTTAATCTCCTGCCCTGTTACGTATGGGAGGGACATGTAAATATGATGGTATATCATTACTATGATTTGATTATGTTATATTTCAAAGTTGACTTTAAGAGACTGATATTATCGTAGGTAGACCTGACCTTATATCAGATAAGCCCTTAACAGGGGCCATATTCTTCCTGAAGAAACAGATTCAAAGTGTAAGAAGGATTCCACAGGAAGGAGATTCTTCATTGCTGGTTTTAAAGATGAAGGGGGCCACCTGGCTAGGAATATAGGCAACTTCTAGGAGGTAGAGGGCATCTCCTGGCTGATAACCAACATGAATCGGGAAACTCAGTCTTACAACCACAAGTAACTGAATTCTGCCAGCAACAGTATCAGAACAATTTATCCAATATTGATACCTCCCTTCTCCATTCAGTAGAGAAGAGTTGGTTTGTTGAGATCATTAGAGCTTTTAACTGGCATTAAGTACAGAAGTTTCCAAAAACTAAAGTAGAACAAAAGGGGAATTTTCTAACATTCCTTCCCGACTGTCATAACACTGCTGTTGCGGGACTGTAGCCCACCCTCTCAAGTCTGTCTCTCCCTTTACCTTCCTCCTCCTCTGCTTAAGACCTACACAACTATCTTTTTTTCTCTATTATAATACCTGGTCTGTTGAATATGATAAAATTAGCATACACACTCACAAAACCCATGCAGGTGAGTGCCATGACACTTAAGGTCTTGAAATTTATTGTCTCTCTGCTGTCCTACTCTATCTAGAAATCCGTTATTTCAAACGCCATCTAGAAAGCCGTTAGTTCAAACCCCTGTACACAAAGCTCCTGGGCTCCAGCCTCCTCCTACCTTCCGTCTCCTTCACAGCCGGAAAATCCCGAATGTCCTACTCTCTGGCAGCAAATGTATCTGCACTGCCAACCATCGTCACAGCTTGCTTTCCCTCTTAGGTCGGAGGAAGGAACACGGCTCCTCCTGTATACTTAATAAAATAACAGGAAGCCTCACAATGTGCTCGTGCTCCTTGTCCTGTAGAACGTTATATGCTCCGTCTGTGCTGTAGATCTCAGCCTCTCCTCCGCTTCAGCTTCTCTCTATTCTCTTTCTCCTCAAATTCAAGTCCCTCAAACTTGCACTTTCAGCCAAGATAGAGAAACAGTAATGCGATTTAGCCTCCCACATGAAACCACTCAAGAAAGAAAAAAGCCAAAATGCACGAAACAATGGTTTTCCAGACACCAGGCATCAGGCAATAAAACACAGTGATGCCCGAGAGACAGTAAACAAATGAGGTGAGCCCTGAAATATATAGGAAAGAAAAATAAATTTCCAAGGTGTCATAGGGGGAATTCAAGGAGTAAACTCAAACTTAAGCCATTACAGTGACTGTGTAGCTGGGTCCTTCTCATATTCCCAGCGCTTGACAGAGTGTTCCTAACCAGCTCAGGACACACTGCCTCCTTTCCTCACCCTGTCGAGGGCTGTCTCCCCCTGTTGACCTTACTCCAGGCTTCCTATGCTCATGGCAGTCTCTGGTGCAAGGATTTGGTTGATCCCATTTCTTCTGTCTTTTTCTTTGCCTTATTAACTGTGTACTCCCTCTGTCCTGCCTTTTACTGTTCTTAATTCTGCAGACATTTCCATACCATAAAATTAAGGGACAGGTTTGCTACACATGCCCACCTGGTACCCCCCTGCCCCCCACCTGCCTTAATTCATTCTGTGTCCTTTTCATCCAGCTCTTTCTGGATGATTTAGGAAAATTTATCTCTCTGCCTTTTTCTCTCTCATTTGGCATTGTGGCTAATGGATTAAGTGGATGACACCCTTTGGAAGAAAATGCAAACCATGGGCTTTAAAGAGAAGCCGAGAAGTTTTAGAGATATAGAGACATTATCTTCAAATAACAAAAAAAGTCCCTTCTTGTTTTGCACAAATCTTCATATCTACTTTTACAACCACCCCTGTTTAAACTTTTTCCGTCACCAGCAATATTCAAGATAACCATAAAGTTGGGTAATAACTCATTTTTATGTTTTTGTTTTATTTTTGTTTCATGTGAATAGTACATTAGGGATTATATAATCTATTTAGGAGACTTTTATATCTCAGTTATCTTACATGAAATGCATTCTGAGTTCCAAGAAACACCGTTTAAACAGCCACAGACTGCTTAAAAATAAATTGCCAGGAAATGTTTTTGTCCCAGCTGACCGTAAGGGGGCAGTGTAGGTACGTGCATTTCATTTAAAAAAATTTAAAAATTTTTTCTCAGGTAGCATGCGGCATGTTTAAAGAATTAACGTCAGATTTAGTAATTGATTTGCGTTGCTTGACTTAGCTCTGGTAGTAAATATAATTAACATTTGAATGGACATGGTAATTGTTTCCTGTGTGACATACACTTTTCTTTATAACACATATTTGACACAGAATAGCCGAGTCTACCGAATTCACAGTGGTAAAAAATTGTAACGTCCAAATTACTTTTAATTCTTGTTCTAGTAAATGTTTTCTGTGGGCCTTTGGTGTTGTCTCTGGAGCTCTCTAGCTATGCAGCCTTGATGTACTGATACAATGAGGGAACGTTGCAGAAGGTGCAGTAAAATGGTAAAGCTACACCTGATAACATGTTCAGAAATTATTTTTGAACAAGCCAAGGAAATACTTACCCTACCTCCCAATTTTTCTTTGATAATCACATTTACCAAAAAAGCTTTTAAAGTCAGCATTCAGTTTCCTTTTCTACTTGGGCTCTGAACCTGCAAAGAATTAGCAGATGCGTAAGAAAAAAGATTAGATATGTATTCTCTGTCAAATAGAGCATCGTTGTTGGAGGGAGAAAAACCAAAATAATTTTGAGTAACACAGATAGTGTCGAGGCAAATAAAGCTAAAAATAGTCACAAATAGGGGACTCACTCAAATTTAAATTTCTGAGTTGTGTAGCATTTAAATTCCAAATTGTGGCTTAATAGGTGACTATAGAATGACTGGATTATGACTAAGGTTGTGTAAGAAAATGATATAAACTGGTGGTTTCTTGAAGATTGTATGTTTGAAATGAATAAATATATACCTTGAAGAAAAAAAAAAAGAAATGGCTGACATCTGTAAGCATCTTGTTTTGAGATGTGCTCTAGCTCAGTGGTTAAGATCATGGGGGGCTGCCCTGCCTGGGCCAGGTCTTGGCTTCTCTCCTTACGAGCTCAGCTCTGGGATCTTGGTCAAGTTGCTTAGCTGTTCTGAAAGGCAGGGACAGTAATGGGACCTACTTTAAAGAGTTACTGTAAGCGTATGAGGTAATATGTTTGCTCAGAATAGTTTCTGATGCAGAGTAAACTTGCAAGAACTATTAGCCATCACGGTCTGTTTTGAAGCACGTAGCATGTGGTGTTCCCACAGCGGCATTTTCTACAGAAGGTGTTAGGGCAGGAGGATGTTGCCTCTCCCTCTGAAAGGTGTCCTTTCGCTTGTGTTATCATGGGTAGCTAGGTTACAGCCAGGAGTATACATTGGTGATGTATTTTTAGTATTGTTCATTACATGTAAAGACTTTCTGAACCTTTTGTATTATGGAGAATAATTCTTTAGATCAGGGGTCCCCAAACTTTGTACACAGGGGGCCAGTTCCCTGTCCCTCAGACCATTGGAGGGCCGGACTATGCAAGGCGTGACACCCTTCACAGCCAGCGCTGCTGCCCCCACTATCCCAGACAGCGGTGTGCAGTGTCACAGGCCCAGCACCGCCTCCAGTGCTGTGTACAGGGATGGCGGTGATCAGCCTGTGACACTGTGTATACAGCGTCCTGGACATCTGCAGCCGCGGTGGGCCTCTTCTGTGGGAAGCCCACTGCTGCATGTTTCCCCTGTTATAAGACACCTCCTAAAAATAAGACAGGCCCTGTCTTTTGGGGGTAAAATTAATATAAGACAGGGTCTTATAATAGGGGAACACGGTGTGTAGTCATGTGGGGAGAGACTTTTGGGCAAAGGGAGGTTATGGGGCCATTATGCTGTTGTACATTTGGGGGAGTATGGGGGCCACTGTGTAGTAATGGTTATAATGCTTTGCCTTTCTTCCTACTTCTGCTGTTATTTCACACTGCTTCCGGTGATGTGGGGCGCCGCAGCCGCAGACCGGATGTGTGTCATATGACGCGTTTCTGGAGCCGTGACACGTGCGTCCCGCGTCACTGGAAGTAGAACTGTACGTGAGCGAAGCTGCGCTTTGCGGTGCCGCCACGTACAGTACTCCAGGAGCACAGGATGCTGATGCATCACTGACCACCAGTGAAAGAGGTGCCCCTTCCTGAAGTGTGCCAGGGGCCCGATAAATGGCCTCAGGGGGCCGCATGTGGCCCGTGGGCCGTGGTTTGGGGACCCCTGCTTTAGATTGTATGCCATTAGTTTGTTCTCCATATTAAGTGGTTTTTTTTGGAATTGGAATTAAAATTTGGAGGTAGGATTCGTGGATTCTAACTTTGCTTTTAATGGGCTGAAAACAGTGAACTGATACTACTCTGTATGTGTAAAATATCAGTCTAAGTTGTTACTTGCCTCACAGACATATGGGTGAGAAACTGTTCTCTTGTGGGATAATGCTGGATAAGTGCTTATGTCCACACATATACTTGGCTTTCATCTTCCTTTACATTTGGCTTTGATAAAAACATACGTAATCAGGATGGACATGGTGGCACGTGCCTGTAATCCCAGCATTCTGGGAGGCCGAGGCTGGCAGATCACTTGAGATCAGAAGTTTGAGACCAGCCTGGCCAACGTGGTGAAACCCTGTTTCTGTAAAAGATGCAAAAATTAGCCAGGCATGGCAGTGCACGCCTGTAATCCCAGCTACTTGGGAGGCTGAGGCAGGAGAGCTGCCTGAACCCAGAAGGTGGAGGTTGCAGTGAGCTGAGATTGCTCCACTGCACTCCAGCTTGGGCAAAAAGAGTGAGAGTCCATTAAAAACAAATGTAATCAGAGGGGATGCTGAAAGTCCCCCTTTTCCTTTCTGTCCATCAGTATCCTCATGCCTATTTCATATTTGTCCATTTTTGTACAAAAGAAAACTTAAAAAAAATTTTACTTTACGTTCTGGGATACATGTGCAGAATGTGCAGGTTTGTTGCATAGGTATACATGTGCCATGGTTGATAGGTTTGCCGCACCCATCAACCCATTATCTAGGTTTTAAGCCCTGCATGCGTTAGGTACTTGTCCTGATGCTCTCCCTCCCCTTGTCCCCACCCCCCCGACAGGCCCCAGTGTGTGATGTTCCCCTCTCTGTGTCTGTGTGTCTCATTGTTCAGTTCTCACTTATGAATGAGAACATGTGGTGTTTGGTTTTCTGTTCCTGTGTTAGTTTGCGGAAAATGATGGATTCCAGCTTCATCCATGTCCCTGCAAAGGACATGAACTCATTCTTTTTTTCATGGCTGCAGAAAACCTTTTTTTAATCAGGAGGAAAGTCTGGGATTTGAGATCTGACAGCAGGAAATGTTTTCCACATGCCAGCAGGCTAACAAAAATACATGGGCATAATTGTTTCTTGGGACATCTTTCATCTGTTGTTTGAGGATAATATTAAAATGTTTCTTTCTTTCTTTTTTTTTTTTTCAGAGACTAATAATCTAGAACTATCTCAAAGCTCAGGAACTTTTCCTTCTGGGTATTATTATAAAGACCAGTGGAGGCCCAGAAAGTTTAAGATGCGTCAGTTTAATGACCCTGACAACATTACAGAGTGCTTACAAAGAAAAGTGGTGCATTTATTTGGGGACTCAACAATCAGGCAATGGTTTGAATACCTTACTACGTTTGTTCCAGGTTGGTACTTTGCTTTTTGTTTCATAACTCTTTTCCACATTAGCTTTGAAATAAGCAGACTCACTCAGGTGCCTGAAGAAAGGTTATCAGGTGAAGAAACACGTATTTCTCTGAAGGACTGAAGAGGTACCCAAATCCTGAAGAGATGCGTGACAGTTTCTGATCAATAGCTGTGTCATGTCGTGTTGTATTCATGGAAGCACTGGGTTCTCATTGAGGTTTATGCCACTGATGAGCTGCATGACTTTGGACAAGTCATTTACTTCTCAGGGCTTCATTTCTCCACGTGTGAAGTGAGACAGCTGGACCATGTCCCTTCACCGCTGTCTTTCACTTCTGATACTCTGTGTCGTGAAATGGAGGTGGACATTTCTAGTTGTTTCACCCCTACTTCTGTCTCATCCAACTTTAAGCTTATAGCAGCTGTAAGTAGAAGGAGGCAGCCAGACATACTGTTGTCCATTTTAATGCATTCTTGCAGCAAAGCCATCCCGGTGTTATCCGTTGGGTCTGTTGGGGTGCCTCTGAGGGGGAGTTGGCTCCTCCTGAGGGAGTCTGGGTAGGCTCCGCATTCTTAACTTCTTGATTTCTCTGTGTGGCTCTGGGGCTGTTCTCCAGACTCAGAACAAAACCCCAATGGCTGGAGGCCCACTCCTTCACAAGGGCATTCTTCTTTCTGAGAGGGGTGTGGATGAGGTAAGGAAGGTGAGATCTTGGAGGAGTAGAAGTAAAGACCCTGCTTCCAATTTGGAGAGCTGATAAATAGTTTCATGGGAACTGTTTTTAATGGCTATGTGTGGACAAGGCTTTTAATAAAGTAAAGCCTGATGGTTTGTTGTGAGTTGTTTGTGATTCTTTTAATCAACTCTTTTATTTATTAGGTCAACTTAGTTGTGTCGTTTGATTGAGACGAGGTTTCACTCTATCTCCCAGGCTGGAATGTGAAGGTGTAATCAGGGCTCACTGCAGCTTCAACCTCCTGGGCTCAAACGATCCTCCCACTTCAGCCTCTCAAGCATTTGGGACCATAGGCATGAGCCGCTTTACCCGGCTCATTTTTTTTGTATTTTTTTTGTAGAAATGAGGTCTCGTCGTGTTGCTCAGGCTAGTCTCAAGTTCTCATGCTCAGGTAGTTCGCCTGCCTCAACCTCCCAGAGTGCTGGTGGCTCACACCTGGCTTCAACTTAGTTTTAAATTTAATTTTTAGAGGGAAGGGAGAAGTACATATTGTCCCCAAAAGTGTAAAGTCAATTCCGCTTTGTTTCGCTTGTGTTTTTACTTGAAGCAGATATCACTAAAGTGTATTTGGTAAGGTGTTAAGTTATGCATCAGGAGAAGGGAAATGCTTTGTGTGGCGTGATGCTAGGCGAGGTGCGATGTGGCGCTGGCCAGGGAGGGCCAGCTTGTTGTTGCCTTTGATAGCAAGGATCACACTGACGGTTTTGCATGCTTCCTACCATATCCTTTACCGACATGTCTTCACCTGCTAAAAATAAAGCCTTGTGTCAGTGCTTGATCTTAATCAAAAGACAGTGGTAGCTCGAGCTTTCTATTCAGTTTAAATGGAGCTAGAAAATCTAGGAAAATCTCGAAGAGAAACCTGGAACTGCCAGGAGAAAAAAGTGAAACCCACTTTAACCTTTAAGAAGAATATATGACAATTATATTCTTTTTGTTTGTTTTTGAGCTGAAGTCTCGCTCTTTCGCTCAGGCTGGAGTGCAGTGGTGTGATCCTCCTGACTCACTAAAATCTCTGCCTTCCAGGTTCACATGATTCTCCTGCCTCAACCTTCCAAGTAGCTGAGATTACAGGCGCCCGCCACCATGCCTGGTTAACTTTTGTATTTTTATTCGATACTGGGTTTCACCATGTTGGCCAGGCTGGTCTCAAACTCCTGACCTCAAGTGATCTGCCTGCTTCGGCCTCCCAGAGTACTGGGATTACAGGCGTGAGCCACCATGCCCAGCCTATAGAACAATTATATTCTGCTGTTACTTCTTCAAAATTGACTGTGAACTCCCTGAGGGCAAGGACTGTAGCTTATCCATGTGAGCATTGCTGGCTTGTAGCACATATAGTAGTGGGAACTAAGTAGGTGCTTAGGAAATATTAGTTGAATTGGGTTGTTAGTATTTACTTAAGGCACTTAAGGGAATATTAAGGGATATGAGACAAATCCTCTTTCCTCACGGGGCACATACTAAGTGGTGAATTATACAGAGTGGTTTTTAAGAATAACAGTGAGTCCCACTGATTTCCTGGGACCTTCAGAATGTCTCCAGGCAACTAGGCCTTGAAATACAATTTAGAAAAGGGAATTCTAACTTGTGATGCTATCTACATCATTCTCATGATAGAGATGGAAGTTTTTCTTTAGGACATTGACATGATTGTTCATCTCTAGGGTACAATTGAAAGTCAAAAGAAACAGGGTTGCTTCTTTCTTTTGCCTATTGCAGAAAGAGGTGTTTGTTTTCATTTTTCAGAATTACATTTGGACTTGCTTTAATTTTATTTTAAAAACATTTCAATTTTAATCAACAGGTAGGTATATTTATGGGGTACAGTGTGATATTTTGATACATATACATTGTAGAATTATATCAAGTAAATTAACATATCCATCACCTCACATAATTAAATTTTTATAGTGAGAACATTTAAAATCTCCCCTTTTAGCAATTTTGAAATATACAGTACATTATTATTTACTACGGTTACCAGGTTGTACAATGGATCTCTAAAACATTTTCCTTCTGAGACTTTGATTAACATCTCCCCATTGCAGCAAACTCCTGGGAACCACTATTCTACTCTCTACTTCAACTTTTTAAAGTTCCACATATAAGTCAGTGTAAGACAAATATTGCATGGGGTTCCACATAACAGACATCTGTGTCTGGCTTATTTCACTTAGCATAATGTCCTCTAATTTCATTCATGTTATTACAAATGACAGAATTTCCCAAAAGAAGTATTTGATTACTAACATGTGCTCATAAAACAGAAGTTAAAGCCCCTGTCTTGAAAGAAATAATATTTATCTGTAGGAGAATAAAATGTAAATGCCAAGTTGATTTTTATAAATTAAATGATTATAAACAGACACTTCTCAGAAGAAGACATACATACAGTCAACAAACATAATGAAGAAAAAGCTCAGTATCACTAATCATTAGAGAAATGCAAATCAGAACCACAGTGAAATTGTGGTTCTCACACCAGTCAGAATGGCTACTACTAAAAAGCCAAAAAAATAACAGATGCTGGCAAGGTTGCAGAGCAAAGTGAACACTTTTACACTGTTGGTGGGAGTATAGATTAGTTCAACCCTCATGGAAGGCAGTATGGTGATTCCTCAAAGAGCTAGAAGTGGAGCTGCCATTCAACCCTGCAATCCCATTACTGGGTATATACCCAGAGAAATATAAGTCATTCTGCCTTAAAGACACATGCAAGCAAATGTTCATTGCAGCATTGTTCACAATAGCAAAGACATGGAATCAACCTAAATGTCCATCAGTGACAGACTGGATAAAGAAAATGTGGTACATACACACTGTGGAATACTATGCAGCCATTAAAAAGGCTGTATCTTTTTTTTTTTTTTTTTTGAGACTGGGTTTCACTCTTATTGCCCAGGCTGGAGGGCAGTGGCATGATCTCAGCTCACCAAAACCTCTGCCTCTTGGGCCCAAGCAATTCTCCTGCCTCAGCCTCCCAAGTAGCTGGGATTACAGGCATGTGCCACCACACCCAGCTAATTTTGTATTTTTAGTAGAGATGGGGTTTCTCCATGTTGGACAGGCTGGTCTCGAACTCCTGACCTCAGGTGATCCCCCTCCGCCCTGCTGAGATCATGCATGTCTTTTGTGGGAACATGGGTGGAGCTGGAGGCCATTATCCTTAGCAAACTAACACAGAAAACACTCCATGTTCTCGCTTGTAAGTGGGAGATAAATGATAAGAACTTATGAACACACAGAAGGGAGCAACAGACACTGGGGTCTACTTGAAGAGGGAGAGTGGGAGGAAGGAGAGGAGCCGAAAAGATAACTGGTACTGGGCTGAAAACCTGGGTGATGAAATAATATGTGACATGTTTTCCTATGTAACAAACCTTTACATGCACCCCCAAACCTAAAATAAATTAAAAAAAAATTTAGATTAAAAAAAGGGCACAATACAAATAGCAACATTTCTTGGCCTAATAATTAAAGAAAAAGGGGTTATTTTGTTTTTTAGGCATAGACACGTGTAGAATCTATAACTGATGGTGTTATTTATAAGGAATGTTATGTTTGTGGCATAATTTAAATAATAAATATGTTAGAATAAAGGCCCATTGATAGACAAAAGGGGGCAGAATACAGTGAAATAGGTATTCCCTTTACATTTATATTGTACCTTTTCGTTGTACTTAAAAAAAAAAAAAGCTGATTATTTGAAGCTACTTAATAAGGTAGAATCAAAATATATGTGCTTGGTGTGAATGTTTTTATGAACTTGAGTTTTCCTTGTTTCAGATTTAGTGGAGTTTAACTTGGGTAGTCCCAAGAACGTGGGCCCCTTCCTTGCAGTGGACCAGAAGCACAACATCCTGCTCAGATACCGCTGCCACGGCCCGCCCATCCGCTTCACCACCGTCTTCAGCAGTGAGCTCCGCTACGTGGCGAATGAGCTGAACGGCATCGTGGGAGGGAAGAACACGGTGGTCGCCATAGCCGTGTGGTCTCACTTCAGCACCTTCCCCTTGGACGTGTACATCCGGCGGCTCAGGAACATCCGTCGAGCGGTGGTTCGGCTCCTCGATCGGAGCCCGAAGACGGTGGTGGTCATCCGGACGGCCAATGCCCAAGAGCTGGGGCCTGAGGTGAGCCTTTTCAACAGCGACTGGTACAACTTTCAGCTGGACACCATTCTTCGGAGGATGTTCTCAGGGGTCGGAGTATATCTTGTGGATGCCTGGGAGATGACCCTGGCCCATTACCTCCCACACAAGCTGCACCCTGATGAAGTTATCGTGAAGAACCAGCTGGACATGTTCTTGTCCTTTGTGTGCCCCTTCGAGACCTAGCCTGTCCTGGAAGGGACTGGAGGAATCATATTCAGTGACCTTCTCAATTGACCTGAGCTACAGAAAGTGGCCCCAGTGAGAGACGACTGCCGTGAATAAGTATAACATTTCAAAAGAGCAGGACTTTATATGAGGAGCTTAGAAAATGCAGGTCACATTTATATCTACCTATAGGATTTTATCCAATCTTGACTTAGCCGTGGTAGAACTCTTATTAACAGCATCTGTACACTGTATTGCTCTTGTAACCAAAGATGCTAATGAGTGTATTTGAATTAGCTTCTTCTGGGAGGGGCGATTACTTTGCTAAAGACTATGAAACGTGTTCTGATGGAAGGGACAATGGCAGAGTGTTTGTAGCTTATCTGGTAAAGGGAATCGAGTGCATCTGCATGAGTAGCACAAGCAGTCCGTCTTCTGGGGGTCAGTCGGAGGAAGCTTGCGGTCAGAGGCTTTTGCACTGAAGACTGCTGCATCTCAGGAGTTTCTCTTGATGATCTACCTTTTCTGAATTACTTGAAAAGGCCAGTGTACTTGGTTCGAATTTTATAGTGAGAATATTTGCAATTTCCTGCTTTTATCTAGAAAAGAAGCAAAAGGGAAATAAGCAGTATGTATAAAATCTGTGTTTGGAATTAATATTTGCATTTGGTGATTGTTTTTTATTTGATCCAGCTAAATTTTATGTGTTGAATACTTACTCTAGAATAATTACTTTTGGAACTGGAAGGGGAAATCTGTAAACAGAAATTTATTTTTATGTTCTGAAATTTGAGGGTTTTAAGAATTGACTTTTATGTAATGAATGCTATTGTATTATAAAGCTGTGAAAGTTTTTCCCGCCAATTTCAGATGTTTTTCTTGTTATTTTGAACTACTTACCAAAATTAGAAGTTAAAATCTAATTAGAAATTAACAAGGTATTTTGGTATTTCTTGATTTTTTTTCCTTTTTTTTCGGTTATTTTCTGATTTGAGCATAAGGTACACCCATTCGCTCATGCTTGGAAGAAACTACTATTCCTACTGGCTATCTAAGAATAAGAGAATTATTAATTTTATTTGACTTATTAATTTCAAATGAGTTCAGTTAATTTGGGATCATTTAGTAAGTACTTTTTTCTTTTTGAGCTGTGACAGATCGTAGTTTAGTTTAAGTCTCTCCTAAGTGGACATGTGACGAAAGTAGGCAGGCTTTAGAGAGGAAGACACATGCTTGAAGTATGAAAAATATGTACCCTTAGAAGAATGGGTCAAATAATTGGAGTTTTTAATTAAAACAGAGGGCCCCCGATCTTACGTTCCTATCCCTGAGGAACACCTTCAAGTTTTTAACGTATTTTATGAGGAAAGAAGATTTTTAATTGTTTCTGAGTCTGATGAGGTAGTAAAATGTATTAAAACAGCTTAATTTTAATAGTCCTTAAGCTTTACACTACCTAAGGATTACTTGTAATATCTGACAAAATTGCAGAATTAAGAGTCATGGCGGGGTGCTGTAGTTTAAGCCTGTAATTCCAGCACTTCGGGAGGCCAGGCAGGAGGATTCTTTGAGGTTGGGAGTTTGAGACCAACCTGGGTAACATAGCAAGCCCTGGTCTCCACAAAAAAACCATTTAGCCAGGCATGGGCCTATAGTCCCAGCAATGAGGGAGGCTAAGGCAGGATGACTGATTGAGCCCAGTAGTTTGAGGCTGCAGCGAGCTGTGATTGCACCACTGCACTCCTACCTGGGCAACAGATCAAGACCTTGTCTGTGAAAAATTTTCTTAAATAATAGAAGAATTAAGGCCAGGCATGGTGGCTCACATCTGTAATCCCAGCACTTTAGGAGACCAAGGTGGGCTGATTGCTTGAGCCTGGAAGTTCAAGACCAGCCTGGATGACATGATGAAACCCCATTTCTACAAAAAATACAAAAACTAGCTGGGTGTGGTGGCACCCACCTGTAGTCCCAGCTACTTAGGAGGCTGAGGTGGGAGGACCGGGTGAGCCCAGAAGGCAGAAGGTTGCAGAGGTTGTAGTCAGCCTTGATTGTCCCACTGTTCCCCAGTCTGGGCAATAGGGCGAGACCCTGTCTCTAAACAAACGAACAAACAAAAAATCGGGATCCTGATGCCTCTGGGATTTATGGAACCAATCTTTGTGGCAAGGGCTCAGTGATTCTGATGATATTCCGCATTTAGAGAAACACTAAGAGGTAAGACAGAATGAGGGAATAAACATGGCTTGTTTATTCCCAATAACTAATTTAATTTCAGAGGTTTTACCAATAACTAATTTAATTCTGTTCATGATCCAGTACTGTAGGTGATATTAGCTTCATTTTATACATGAGGAACTTGGGTTTGGATTTGAAATAAGGTATGTGACGGTCCATATCCCTTTTTAGCTAAACTTGGGAGACTTTTGTAAAGGGTATTGATTTATTTATTTTTGAAACAGGTTCTTGCTCCTTTGCCCAGGCTGGAGTGCAGTGGCATGATCATGGCTCAATACAACCTTGACCTCCCGGGTTCAAGCAATCCTTCCATCTCAGCCTCCTGACCAGCTGGGACTACAGGTGTGCACCACCAGGCCCACCTAATTTTTGTATTTTTTTATAGAAAGTAGGTTTTGCCATGTTGTCCAGGCTGGTGTTAAACCCCTGGGCTCAAGCAATTCACTCACCTTGACTTCCCAAAGTGCTGGGATTACAGGTGTGAGCCACTGTGCCCAGCCGAGAGGATTTCTTCTCATGAAATAACTTACATTTCCTCAAGGATTTATAAAGGAGGCTGAGGAGTAATTTTCCCAGAAGAATTTTAAAAAGAAAAGAGGGCATTGCTTCTCCAGTGGTTTGGAATGATGCTACTTGATTGTACAAATGATTTCTTATGATCTTGTCTCATTTCTGTTATTTTTTGATTTGGTGACATAGCTCTTAAAGATTTGGTGGCACAGCTTCTTCAGGTATTCTTAGTCACTTTTATCTCTCTTAAAAACATTTTTTTTTTTTTTTTTTTTTGAGACAGAGTTTCGCTCTTGTTACTCAGGCTGGAGTGCAGTGGCGCGATCTCGGCTCACTGCAACCTCCGCCTCCTGGGTTCAGGCAATTCTCCTGCCTCAGCCTCCTGAGTAGCTGGGATTACAGGCACGTGCCACCATGCCCAGCTAATGTTTTGTATTTTTAGTAGAGATGGGGTTTCACCATGTTGACCAGGATGGTCTCGATCTCTTGACCTCGTGATCCACCCGCCTCGGCCTCCCGAAGTGCTGGGATTACAGGCTTGAGCCACTGCGCCTGGCCCAAAAACATTTTATTAAAACAACTTTTAAGTTCAGGAGTACACGTGCTGGTTTGTTTCATAGGATTTATGTCATGGGGGTTTGTTGTATGGATGGTTTCATCACCCAGGTATTAAGCTTAGCGCCCCTTAGTAATTTTCTGATCCTCTTCCTCCTCCTACTCTCCACCCTCCGACAGGCCCCAGTGTGTGTTGTTCCCCTTTATGTGTCCCTGTGTTACCATTTCTCACTTACCAGTGCGAACAACTTTCATTCCACATCTAATTTGTCTCTCTTCACTCTGGTGTGGAAATTTTGATAAAGATTCCAGTATCACTTAAACCTTTCCCAGAATAATAGATAGAATAATTTAGTTTCTTCTGAAAAGTTTATTTTAGGCTAGTGCCACATGGTTGTGAATATTAACTATAAAATCTAGAAGAAAAATCTACAGATAAAATCCATAATTCTATCATCTGAACACAATGAACAGTAGTATTTGGGTGTATTTTCTTGTAGGTTTTTTAACCATATAGAGAATATGTAATTTGGATCTGTGTTTTTTACACATAAATATTTTTCTATGTTAAATAGTCTTCGTAAGTTATATAGGTCTGCTTAATAGTTCTGCTACTGGAGTTTTCATTAGGTAAGTTGGTCGTTATGGTTGGACATTTAGGTTTACAATATTAAAATTTATATACAATATTAATATTTATATACAATTTCAGTGTTGGAAAAATATGCATTTCTATTTTGGAATGACAGTATTAGTGAATCTCATATTCCAGAACTGAGATGATTGATTTGATGCTACTTGTGACAGACAGAACCCATAATAAAACCTTTCTACACAAATTACAATTTATAGAATTATCCTGCTAAAAGTAACCTTTAGGGAATGTAAAACAGTCCTTTGATGTTCCCATATCATTCACTTTGCCATTCTGAACAACTATCATTTTAATTAAGACCACGTAACAGACACTTGCTGGATATAATTCTTAAGTTTCAGATTGAAACTTAATCGATCTGGTTTAATAACTGAATCCAGTTTCACATTTATCAGCCTGAAAACGTAGTTTGCAGATTGGTAAATCAGGGTACTTGACAAGAATAAATATGGTAAGCCTTTACATATTCATGTGTTACATGCCAGAAATGAGTGTTTCTGGACCCTGTTCAAGGAAATCGTGATCACTGAGAAAGGTACAGGGAAATAAACACCCAAGGGAAACAACAGAACTAAGCGTTCCCAACTTCACAGAAAAACTGCTCAGCATTATCTCTGTGAGTTCTGGGTAAGTTCAGCTTTTTCACATCAGCTAGTCACTAATGCCAGAAAGTCTACCTTCAGTGTATTTATTTTCCTGTGTTAAGCATTATTCAACCTGGTTTATGTCTACAATGTATTATCAGTGTACTTAGGATTCTTGATACCTGAATGTGCAATAAATAAAATTGTGAAGTTGTTAGTTTTTCACTTTGAAGGTGAGACCACAGCCCCTGAGTTCTAAGAGAACCTGGGAATCCTAGGAGAATGGAGGTGGTGGAAGGTAAGAGGGTGGTTGAGGGCAGGAGTTTAAAGGACACGGAAGCTAGGAGAGCACAAAACGTACTCCACCAGCTTTAGTCTGACTTGCCTCTTAAACGTGCGTTTACATTTTAACTTTTTAAAAAAGTGGGCTGGGTGTGGTGGCTCACGCCTGTAATCCCAGCACTTTGGGAGGCCGAGGCGGGTGGATCACCTGAGGCCAGGAGTTTTGAGACCAGCCTGACCAATATGGTGAAACCCCGTCTCTACTAAAAATACAAAATTAGCTGGGTGTGGTGGCGCGTGCCTGTAATCCCAGCTACTCAGGAGGCTGAGGCAGGAGAATCACTTGAACCTGAGAGGTGGAAGTTGCAGTGAGCCGAGATTGTGCTATTGCACTCCAGCCCGGGCAAACGAGGGAAACTCTGTCTCAAAAATAAATAAATAAAATAAATAAACATAAAGGGTGAACTTAAATATATTTATATGTGTGTACACATATTTTTATTTTTAGTATTCTGGTAAAATGAGAGGCCATCAGGCCTCTTTGAGTTTTAAGAGCCTCATGATATGTAACTCTAATCCCCATTTCAACTGGATTTAACACTGCCTAGGGAATACAACTTAAAAAAAAAAAAAAAGCAGTACCGAGATTAGCATCAAGTGTACTCAATGGAAAAGAAGTGAAACTAAGTCACAGCAGAAATCCTTTCAGTGTTGCGCAATGGTTCATCTGCTGTTAAATCCACTCCGTTCCCATTCCCCTTCCCCCCTGAAAATCAAGTGGTCTTCATGTTCCAGGAACATTGCTTTATTTATGTCTCAGATGCCTTGTTCCTTAATTAGTCAATGAAGGCACATGAGGCTCTACTACTTTTTGATTGTATTGTAAAAGGTCACTTCACCCGCCCACTGCCCCTCCCCCCCCACATTTAGGGGCCACACAGAAAAAGCGAAATAAGATGAGGCGAATGTAGTGAGAGGGCAACTCTAATGCCCAGCAGGAGAGTCACTGGGACGTTTTAAAAGGCCGTCTTGAAG